AAGGACCACGTAGAAAATTCCTTAAGAATCATATACATATGCCAAGGATCAAGTATGTGTCTCAGAAGACCTCACACATGTTCCAAAGAATACATATATGTCCCGAAGGACCGCGTAGACCCTCGACTCTTGGCATGCCAACTATACCCCTAGTTCTCATGACACATAACATGGGCATTATCATTTATGTCATTTACATATTCATATATTCACATAGTTCACTTACGCGTAGAAAATTTTCATATAATTCACATTTACATGTCACATAGCTTATATTCTTTTTCACGTAGTCACATAGATCCATGTCATATAACATGTATCCAAAGTGCATAGAATCGCGTAGATCATATCATATAGCTTAAATCATTTCTTAGATGTTCCTGTAAACCTACATATCATATCTTGTTCACATATAATCATATATACTTCATATAGCACATAAAAACACTTATAACACTTCCACATAGCTTATATCAATTTTCCGAGTCCTTTCATATTACTTGATAACATATATCATATATGTATATAATAACTTATGTCATATCATCTACCTTATGCTTCATTTCTTTGTATTCCCTTAGATTATATAAACTATGTTGTATTTCTAAACATATATCATTTAATAGTATTTTATTTATATATTAATTTAATCTATTTACTTAATTCAATTTCAGATATTCCTTATGACCTTTTCATATAGCTCCATAAATCTTTAGCATATAACTTATCTTATATATCCGTATCTTCCTTTTTATATTCAAGTTTCCTAATTGATATACTATTCCCATTTCATTCTATAATTCAATCTTATTTAGTTCCCTTAACTCTCATTAACTCAAAAAGCTCTATTATACTAATTCTCATAATGGTTCATACCACTATGTACTTGTCCAACTCATGTTTCTATTAAGCATATAATGTTACACATGTTTACCTAGTTCCTATCACTTCTCATGAACTCACTTTCATCATATTTTCCTATTATTACATATTTTATCTCATAACCGTGTATTCACATAGTCTTATATTTCATTATCATATGACTTATATTTTTTCTCCTATAACTCTTCATAGACATCTATTTCCATTTCCATATATCACTTGACTGATCTTCTATATTGCTATAATTTCATAACTTATTTTATATTCTCTCATTAACACTTAATAGTGTTTTTACATAAACCATATAGCACATACAAAACATATCAATTCATATAATCAAACATACATACACTTTATGTTGTTAACATACTTATGATCAAGACTTAATGAACTATTACTATATGAAATAGACTTATCACAAGTCCAATTTCCATATAATCTTATAGAAATAAACTGCACTCACCTGGCCTCACGAAGTTCCGATCCGCTTTTATGATTTCCTTTCTTTCGATCGAATCTTAACTTGATGATCATTCCAGAACTTGTTCGTGTTTGATATCTACATAATCACATATTGATACATATCAGTATCCAATTGATATGCTCTAATCTATCATTTCTTAGACCAAAAGAAATGTCTATTTCAATTTCCCCTTGAAGTGTATCGAGGTATTCTTTAACATGTGCATCGATGCACTACCCATGCATCGATACACAAATTACCTTCGATGTTTTCATTTTAAGGGGATGTATCGATGCACTCCTTATGCATCGATGCACTAACTGCATTCGATATTTCCATTTTAATGGGTGCATCGATGCACTTCCTGTGCATCGATACACTCTGAACAATTTCTGAAGATTTACCCTTGATGCATCGGTGCACATTGAATGTGCAGCGATGCATATGACCCAGAATTCATTTTTAAGCCCGAAAATCTACTCAAATCAACTCAACTGCTTCATCTTTCATCCTCTTTCATGTTCTTAACTCATATACACATGCTTAAACCAATTTATATCCATATAAACCATATTTAACCTCAAACTTCTATCATCCTTATGAAATTTAAGAATCATACTAAATTTTCAACAGGTTCTAAATCCACTTTTAACACTTCATATTCCTTAATTTAACCATTTCCAAGTCAAATTCAACTTAAAATTCTATTAACTCCTTTTATTTCAAGAATTCACTTAAAAACTCATTTTACTTACTCTCTCATAACTCCATCATCCTCATTTTTTAAGATAATTTAAGCTTTCCTTAAGCTTAATTATCATCCAATAATCATAAACCAACTTTTATTTCAACATATAATCAGCTAACCACAAAACTCACCTTTGCCATGATGACTCACGGCTGAAAAAGAAGAAGAGAACTCTGGAAGTTTTTATTTTTCCTTCTTTTTTCTTCCACGTGGGCTTCCTTATCTAGTAAAGGAAAAAATAAAAATCTTCCATGTCAATTGACCATTTTACCCTTTAATTCATTCCATAATTACTAAATAACTTTCATCATATTTCCAATAAATCATTGAACTATTCAACTATCATACTTTAAATCACCAATTTCTGAAACTTTACAATTTAGTCACTAACCCGGTATCGAGGATGTTACATACTAGTATTCACTTTTATGTCAGTATATGTATAATACTATAAACCAATTTATAATTATCATATCAGAGAAAACATAACACATTTAAAATACATGCCAACTAGAAAAGTCAAAAACATCAGAAGATTTCATACTGATACTAGGGAGCTGATCCTAAAAAAGTAATGTTAACTACACTTCTTGCTCTGATCGCTTCATTTTACCTATGATTGAAACCATCTCACACTAAGTATACACTTAGTGAGGCATTTATATATATAAAATGAGTATATAGATATATAAAATATCATATAAACCATACAAAAAATATCATATAATAATATATAAAATACGTAAAACAAACTTAATAAAGTCTCCCTCTCATCATACCCCTGTATAATAGCAATTCTCATATAAACATATATAATCATGTCAGAATATTCAATAAAATCATTGCTTTCAATTGTATCAGTCAACTTGAACTTTTCAATTTCATTTAATGCATAATCAATGTATGATAAATGAGAATGCATAGTACAATAGTCATTAATATCCACATATTACACTTTTAGTGCCAAACATATATACAAGTGCTATAGATATATCGATAATCGGGAATACTATAGTACCAAATTCACTTACTATGTTTTGAATTCCCTAAAGTAACAGGGTACCAAATTCACTTACCATGTACTCATTGTAGCTGCGCACAACAGTGCCAAATTCACTTACCAAGTGTGTCATGCAGCTAATGATACTCCACCTCTATGCCATAATGCACAATAGTACCAAATCCACTTACTATGTGCATGCCAATTATACCAAACAATCTCAATGTACATACAATGGGCATTTTTATCGAAGTCATATAGCTTTCATTCACCGGAAGTATCCATAGATACTCGTATATCAATTATCATATAATAATGCATTTGGCAATTCATACCCGAAATCATCTTAATATTATTTTATAAAATAGTATGAAAATAGATCAAAATACGATTTAAATACTTTTCTTTACAACATATAAGCATCATATTCATCATATGATTAACATCATAACCATTATAGGAATATAATAGAGTGGGCTCAATTTAAATATTAAAAAAGTAATTTTTGAAATTTTAGTGACCAAATTCCCTTACTATGTCTAAGAGCGATGCGTGGGGCACATGCGGTTGTCGCGCGGTGCTCGGAATTGAACCAAATTCTCCAGAATCAAAGATCTCATATTTTGAGTCACTTGGTAGGCTTTTACGAGTGGTTGAAACCTCCATGCTCTGATCTCCTTCATGGCGGTGGTGGAGCTTACACCATGAATGCCGGTGGACTCAAAATTTTTAGTGGAGATCACTGGTGCTGGCGGTGTTGAACATCTCTGACTCATCAGCAATGAAATATCAAAAACCCGTAGAGAACCCATATTTTTTCAACGAGGAATCGAGGGCCTTTTCACTATTAACGATAATGATTATCGATGAGTTATCAGTAGGGTTTTGATCAGAAGATGATGACAGACCCTCCAGTGGAGGCGGTGATGATCATTGTTGGTCGAACGATGATAGTTCAACGGTAGATGGCGATGGAGGATGGCTTGGAAAAAATTAAGGGTTTTTGGTTCATTACATAGGGAAAATCTATTTTTTAGGGATTTAAGATCTCTTCTATACATATTTAAAATATAGTTTTATTAATTTAATAACTAATAGTGTTTTAGCCTAATTGGTAGGAGTATGTATGACCATATTGCTAGACTTGGGTTCAAGCTTTTGAATTGAAAATTATTTGATTTTTCCCATTTTTATCTTTCAAGAGTCAAAGGAAAATAGGTAAACTGAGGTCTAAGGTCCCAAATTGTCTAGGAACTTGAAAACTAACCTATATTTCAAACTCTCACAATTTGGTCCCCATTTTTCTTTCAATTGACTTTCATATTTTAATACTTCTCAATTTAATCCTTTAAATAAAATTTTAGGGTGTTACCTATCGAGTCTTGTAGAGACCCATTATAGGGACTACTCTCCCAACTTTATTTGCCCCATTCGTAAATGAAAAAGTTCAAACCCCTAATCTTACTTAAAGAATCTAGTGTCTTATCCAACTAAACCAAACATAATTTTTATTGTTTGTATTATGTTATTATACATTTAATTTTCAGATAATATAAATTATATAATAGATATAAAAATAGAAGAAAATAGTATAAAATTAATAAAGGAGTCAAGTCCGGCATTGAATGAATCTTTAAGTATGAGCTTATAATAAATATTTTCTAATATGAAATCTAATATGAATGAAAAGAAAATGGATTTTATTCTATTTCTTTCAATGGAAAAAACTATTAGGTTTCTTTATAAAAAAAAATCTCTTAGACAGGCCTCAACAATGTCACAACTGTGGGCTTTGATCTATTCACTGGTATGAAAAATAACCAAAATACTATAAAAAGCCCAAACCAAAAAGAACGGAAGAAAAGCAAAACCCTAGAAAACTGTATGAAGATCAAAATTAGGGTTTTGTTTATCCATAAAGATCATTTGCAACTCAAAGGGGAAAAGGGGAGAGAGAGAGTGTGTGTAAAAGATGCCCGCAGGTCACGGTGTTCGTTCTCGAACAAGGGATTCATTCTCCAGGCCCTTTAGGAAGAAGGGTTACATTCCCCTGTCCACTTACCTCAGGACCTACAAGATCGGTGACTATGTTGACGTCAAGGTAAACGGCGCCGTTCACAAGGGTATGCCCCACAAGTTCTACCATGGCCGCACCGGTCGTGTCTGGAACGTCACCAAACGAGCTATCGGTGTTGAAGTCAACAAACAGGTACTAAAAACAATTGGGTTTGTTTCATTTTGATATGCGTTTGGATTTTGATGTGTTTGGATATGTGAAAATTTTGTAGAAATTGGGGTATATTGTATTAAATGGAAGATGTCGATTCTTTTCTCTGATTTTATTCTGCTATGGTTAATGGTAAAATTGGGTTTTTATATATGGTTGTGTTGAATTCTGGTATTTTAATGTTGGATTTGCTTAGTTACATTATATAAATGGAATGCATTCAACCTATTTAGAGAAGTAATATAGCTATGAAAGTATAAAGAATCAAAATGAACTCTTTTGGGTAAGCTTGAATTAATTTATCAGTAAGACGTGGTACAAATTCACATGATGTTTTGATTGAAATGTGTTGTATCATGCCTGCATTTTGGCTTGTGGTCATGTTCGAGCAAGATGGACTGTGCTCTCATGCCATCACTGCAAGCTTCATATATAAGATTTGAAATTGGTGTACTTCTATTAATATATCTGTCACATGAATATACGAAATCCCTTTGTGGGGTGAGCTTAGATTCTTATTACCATAAGATTTATAACAAATTTACATATTTTGTATTGAATGTGTTGTAATGTGCCTGCATTTGAGGTTGTGAACTTGTGCTCCGTCTTCTCTAAACTTTATGCCATTCCTGCCTTCATGTCATCACCACAAGCATCTTTATATTGGATATTCGAAATTGGGGTGCTTGCATTAATTTGATTGATGATTTCAGGTCGGTAACAGGATAATCAGGAAGAGGATCCATGTACGAGTGGAGCACGTACAGCCATCACGATGCGCCGAGGAATTCAAGCTGAGGAAAGTGAAGAATGATAAACTAAAAGCAGAGGCTAAGGCAAAGGGTGAAGTCATCAGCACAAAGAGACAACCAGAGGGACCTAAACCCGGTTTCATGGTGGAGGGTGCTACATTGGAAACAGTCACCCCCATTCCATATGACGTTGTTAATGATCTCAAGGGTGGTTATTAGATCTACACTTCTTTTCTTTTTGTGGTTTTTGCTGTTTTTGGAAAACATAAAGTGAACTGGAATGGGATTAGACATTTGTTTGCGTTGTTTCGTTTGAGGATACTGCCTCTGCTTTTGCTGAGATTTAATAAACGTATCGAATTTATGAGTTCGGACCAAATTTCACATTTTTCAAGTGGTGCATTAAAATGAAGATAGGTAAAGTTGTACAAAAGTAACACGATCAAGTTTTAAAAATAATATAAACTCAAGTTTTTTTTTATAGGTGGTTGTTAGTGAATTTACAAATCAAGTAGGTCTCTTGCTTCTAACACAAAATAAATATGCTCAAACTTATTTGTAAGATAGGAAAGCATATGTTAATCAGTGTTTTATGATATGTAAACGATACGTTTTATTTCATTTCATTTAAATAAATCATCGATAAATATGAATATTTTAAGAAAATTTTATGTTAAACCATTCTTAAAAATGAATAGATCTAGTTATAGTTTGAATCCCTCTACTATGCTGATTTTAGAGCTTTGATATCTAATTTGGCAAACTTAGATTCCTCTACTATTATAACATTTTTTATTAATTTCAAATTGCTAATATTGCTAGTTATTGTCGTCAAAGTTTATCCAATAGTATCTAATTGACAATCAAAAGGATCCATGTCATCAACTTTTTGAAAAGAGGATCAAAACTAGAGTAGAAAGATCAAATCATAAATTTTAGTATAATAAAGAGGTTAAAACTGCAATTAACCAAAGGAAGGAGAAACGTAAAACATAAACACTAGTTGGAAACGTACAGGAACTTTGAAAGCCGAAGGTTATTGAAGCTCAAATGACAGTTTGAGGAAGTAAAGATTATGCGGTCAGAGTTGTTAGCTTTGTAACATGTATAAAATCAACAACAAAGTTCCAACAATTTATTCCTTGTTTGAATGAACACCTTTTCACTGATCATTCATATCCCATTTTCTTAACCCTAATCGTCACCACCTTTATTTCGATATATAATCAAAGCTACGTGCTTAAAAACAACTCCATATTTCTGGGTAACCAAACAATGAAGATATCCTTAGTGATGTCTCTTCTCCTCTTGGCTTTTGCCTCAGGTTTGCATCACAATCTTTCAATTTTGTCCATTAATTTATGTATTCTGAAATCTGGTTTTGTTACAGTGTGGAGGGGTGATGGGTTAGGGCCTTCGGTGGGTATGAAGGATGGATATGCAGCAAGGATACCAGAACATACATGCCATAAGCTCATTGACAGCAACACATGTGAGTTGCAGAAATGTATGGATGAATGTTCCAAGGAACCTGCTGGTGTTGGACAGTGCAGAGACTACAATGTTTGTCGCTGCACTTATTATTGTAAGGATCCTTCCATGTGATGTGATTCCCTTTTCTTTTATGTTTCGCCCAATTACTTCGTATACATACTGGAATAAAAACCATTTACTTATCCCTATGCCACTTTATACCTTTGATTTAGAACAACACACTGTCATTAACAAATGTCACTATTTACTATAGTTGGAGCATTAATATGTGTTTTCTCGGATTCTGATTTTAGTTGCTGTTAATCTACTAAAGTTTAGAATGCATAATAATATTTTTTTTGACTAAATAGAGAATTTTATTACATTTATAAGGTAAATATCGAAATTTGAACATCTTTAACTGCTCGATTAATTGAATAATCTCAAAATACGTAATATTGTTTTAATTTCATTTATAATTTTTTTACGAATTGAATGTCGTCATGCTGTCATTATTATTATTAATAATTTATTTTTTAAAGTACATGATATTTTTTTCTATACATCAAATAATAAATCAAGGATTGAACTTGACCCTAAATTAAGGAATTGTGAAGAAAATACAATCTGATATCAAATTTATTTAATATTTTATTTTAAAAATTAAGATAACACATATTATATGTATAGTTGAAGTAAATTTTGAATAAATTATCTCATTAAAGGTCAGTAAAGGATCGGCCGGCTATGGTCGAAATCCGACGGGTAGGCTTTGAGCTCTTTTGTCAATGATAAGCTTTTGTTTTTGGGCGAAATAGAGTTAATTGCATCAAATATCCTTAAAGCATGTCCTCTATTTTAAATTGGTCCTAAATTTTTAAATATTTTAATTTTATTCTTAAATTATGATTTTCATTTAAAATTAGTCTTTAATTTTTTTAATATTTTAATTTCATCCCCCAATTATGACCTTCTTTCTAAATCAATCCTCAAACTTTTTAAACATTTCAATTTCATCCCAAACTATGTGTATATACTAATCACATCCCTTATTAGTAAAATTATTAAACCAAGTTATATTATATATGTTTGAACAAACAAAATTTAGGTTAAACTATGGTTGAAACTACATATATATTTGGATTAATTTGGGGATGGAATTGGAATACTCAAAAGTTTAGGGACTAATTTAGAAAGAGATTCATAGTTTAAGGATGAAAATAGAATATTTAAAAATTTAAGAACTAATTTGGAATGGAAATCATAATTTGAGGATAAAATTAGAATATTTAGAAGTCTAAGGACCAATTTAAGATAAAGATTATAGTTTGGGGACGCAAGCTAAGAGTGAATCCTTAACAGGAAAGAAGAAAAAATGTAAATTATATAAGTGACCATATAACAATTAATTAAGTTGACATTCGATCTTCAATGTTTATATATTACATCAATTTGATCATAATTTTAATTAATTTAATAAATGTAATCTATAATTAGATGATGACACATGTCACCACTAAATTAAGAAATATTTTATTAATTTAAATTATTTAATTTACTTTTTTTTGTCCAGATAACATGTCACTACTTTTTTTTTTTGATAAAAAAAGAAGGTTATGAATAATTTATTTGCAGCTAAAAAGGATTAAACCAATGACCTTAATCTCCCCAAGCATGCTTAAGCCATCCGCTTGAAATTGTTTTACAACACTTTGTAAAACAAAAAAAAAACTAAACGTAAAGGGATTTAAATTTGAGAATTTAAGAGAGAATGCAAGCACCTTATCAATAATTAAATCCTATATTCGATTAAAATTTACAATATTATATATATATATATATATAACCATTAAATTGAGTTTTTTTCAAATAAGAAGTAAAATTTAGATTTTTTATTTTTAAATTATTTTTTTATTTTTAAATTATTTTTTATATAATTTATTTATATATAATCATTAAATTAATTTTTTTAATATAATTAATATTTTCAATTTTATTTAATAATTATATATATATATATATATATATAAATTAAGTATATAAAGATTATTAATTATGATAAAAAACTTAAAATTTATAATTTGATTATATAAAAAAATAAATGTAGTTTAAAACCTGAATTTAAGCTTTGATAAATTTAATTTTAAAATATTAATTTAATTTTTATTTTATATCTTATATTAACTATATTTTAAAATATATGAAACGTACATATTAACAAGGCGCAAGAGAATTGTCGAGACGGTATTTCTTCTGGCGAAAATAAGTGTCGTTGCTTTCTAAATCTCGTCTCGAAAAAGTAAGTGTTTTTTTTGTATAAGATAAAACATAATTTGTAGAGTCGCCACCAATCATTTTATCGATGTGTGATTGGTCACAAAAAATGCTATGTTATTTTAATAAAATTTATAAAAATAATATTAAAATAACAAAAAATGGTCTGCTTACTAGAAAATGAGTTCGGGAGTCGGTTACGTGTAGGGAATGATTAGCATCCCCACAATGCCCAAAATTGGTACATTGTTTATTAATTAATGTCTTTACAATAAATTAACAAATTTATATTTAATTTCAATTTATAATCTCATTATTCCATATTTAATCGCATAATTTATTTAAAGAAAATTCTAAAATAGAAAATATTCCAATATTTCCAATCGAAGAGAAACTATTCCCTAAAATGTTTTAGGACGAATATTTATCTTTTCGACCGAAATAATAAAAATGTGATAATTCTTCCCAATAAATAATATTAAAATAATTTGATATAACCAAAAATAAAATAAATATTTTTATGTTTTTATAAACAAAATATTTATTCATTTTTAAATATTAAAATATGACATCTAGTTATGTTAAGACAATCCTTTCTTAATATTTAAAAATAAATATTATCATTTAATCAAATTATGAAATTGATCAAGTTATGCTTATGAATTTTTCATATATATTCATAGGACTAAAATAAAATGAATAGAAAATAAAGTGAAATAAAAGTATTGAGATATATTTGTCACAAAAAAAGATTAGAATAAAAAATATAGAAATTTAAATGCTATAATATAATTAATAAAGAATAAGACATAAAAATTAAATGAATTCTTAAATTAAAATTGCACAAAATAAAAGTATTAATATTAAAAAAATAAAAACTTGAATATAAATAAAACAACAAGGGCACAAAATATTACTATAAATAGGGACGAAAATAAATAGAAAAAAGTTAGGAGGTCATATTAAAAGTTAGTGAAATAAAAGGGATAGAAATAAAGACCAACGAATTTTGGAAACTACTCTCATGATTATCCCCTAAATTAATGACTAAAATGATAATAAAATAAAGAAAAGAGATCAAAATAAAAGAAAATAAAAATATAGTAGGAAATTTCGGAATAATTAAAAAAAATAGAGAAATCAAGGACTAAAGTGTAAATATGCGCCTAAATTAGAGGGATTATTTCGTGATTTTCCCTATTTTAAGTGAATAAAGTAATGAACTCCCAAAGTGTATGGACCTGACGTATGGTTTACCCAAAAGTTTTATAAACTTAAAACTCATCTTCTTCCTCCTTATTTCACACGTAGAACACCCTAAAGCTTTCAACTCTTCTCTTTTCTATTTATTTATTTATTTATTTATTTAACTTACTTTTTTTTGAAAATAAATAAAAATAAAATATAAAGCTGAAAAAATAAAACCAAATGTTAAAAAAACCTTTGTAGTGCTTTTTTTTCTTTTCAATTTGCTGTGTATTTCTCTTGATTTTTGTTCATTTTACATATTGTTCTGGGGTTTTTATAACCCCAGTTTACAAAAGAAGAATCAAAGATGATTTTTTTCTTTCTCATTGTATGTGTGGCTGCTGTAGAGGACCAACTGTTGTTGGTGGAAGCTGCTGGAATTTGTTGTGGTGGAGGGGGCTGCTGGGTTACTTGAAATGTGGAGGGGTTGCTGGGTTGTTTGAAACGTGGAGGGGTTGCTGGTTATGAAAGGTAAAAAATGGTGATTACAGCTGCCCCTCTTTGCTCGTTGCTGTGGAACAAAAATAGAGCAAAGACATAAAGCACCATTTTTAGCTTGAATGGTTCAAACATCTGATATATAAGTTCTTCTCATTATGAACTTTTTCACTGGGAATGTTGACGTCTCAAGTGAGGTGTCGTTGATTCAACTCCATATACGATGAATTTCTTCTTCATCTTCAGATGAGTTCTTCTTATTACAAACTCCTTCTGGCAATGTTGATGCTGGTATATCTCCATATGCGATGAACCGAGATAAGGTTGAATAATGTTGATCCCTCGAATGAGGTTCTTCTCTAAATCAACTCCATAAGTGACAAATCAAATTAAGGTTGAACAAGTCCTTCTTATTCAGACGAGTTCTTTATATTACGAACTCTATAAATCAAGAAACCCCTGAATGCTTAGATTTTTAGTTTTCAAGGAACCTTTTTTGTTAGGCTAGCTTCCTTTAACAACTATTTTGAGATAATTAGTAAACCCCTGAAGGATTGGTTTCTAAAATCTCATTTGAAAACATCATGCACTGAAGGTCTTATGGATGACCCGAAGGCTTCTTGAAAAACTTCATGCACTGAAGGTCTTATGGATGACCCGAAGGCTTTTTGAAAAACATCCTCCACTAAAGGTCTTATGGATGACCCGAAGGCTTTTTAAAAAAAATCCTGCACTGAAGGTCTTATGATGACCCGAAGGCTTTTTGAAAGCATCCTGCACTGAAGGTCTTATAGATGATCCGAAGGTTTTACAAATTACCCGGAGGTTTTAATTTTCTAGAACATTAAATGAGAAACTTTGATAATCGTTTTCTCATTTTCATGTGAAAATCATATGTGAACATCTACCTAAAGGCTTTACGGATGGCCCTAAGGACTTATCATCTTGCTCGAAAGACTGACAGATGACCCGGAGGTTTTAAGCATCATGCTCAAAAGACTAACAGATGACCCGAAGGATTTACAAAGTTATGGGAAATACTTTACTGGGTAAGAAACTTCTTACTTTTCAAGAATTTGATTTTGTAGAACATTAAATGAGAAACTTTGAAAACCGCTATCTCATTTTCATGCGAAAATCATATGTGAACATCCTACCCAAAGACTTTACGGATGGGCCTAAGGACTTATCATCTTGCTCGAAAAACTGACAGATGACCCGAAGGTTTTAAGCATCATGCTCGAAAGACTAACAGATAACCCGAAGGATTTACAAATTTGTGGGAAATACTTTACTAGGTAAGAAACTTCTTACTTTTCAAGAATTTGATTTTCTAGAACATTAAATGATAAACTTTGAAAATCGTTATCTCATTTTCATGCGAAAATCATATGTGAACATCCTACCCAAAGGCTTTACGGGTGGCCCTAAGGACTTATCATCTTGCTTGAAAGACTGACAGATGACCCGGAGGTTTTAAGCATCATACTCAAAAGACTAACAGATTACCCGAAGGATTTAAAAATTTGTGGGAAATACTTTACTAGGTAAAAAACTTCTTACTTTTCAAGAATTTGATTTTCTAGAACATTAAATGAGAAACTTTGAAAATTGCTATCTCATTTTCATGCGAAAATCATATGTGAACATCCTACCCAAAGGCTTTACGGATGGCCCTAAGGACTTATATCTTGCTTGAAAGACTAACAGATGACCTGATGGTTTTAAGCATCATGCTCGAAAGACTAACAGATGACCCGAAGGATTTACAAATTTGTGGGAAATACTTTACTGGGTAAGAAACTTATTACTTTTCAAGAATTTCATTTTCTAAAAAAGATTAAATGAGAAACTTATTGGTTGGGTACCATGCCTCAATTCAAAATAATGCTTCATTTGCGGATTGCGTTCATCTATTCTTCAGATGTTTGTCTCTCCTAACATGTTCCTGTATTTGGGATTTGAATTCTACCTTACATTTGCAAGGTACTTTGTCCCTGCATCTTCATGTGAAAAATGTATTTATGCAAATGCAATCAAATGTAATGCATGATCTTTTATGCAAATAATGTTCTTATGAATGCAAAATGTCGATTCAATCTTCGTTTGACTTCAGAGTAACGAATTCAATCTTCTTCTACTTAATAATTCCTTTCCAGGGTTTTCTCCAAATATCAGTGTAGCAACTTATGCTATCAGGCTTGCATTTCTGAAGAACCATCTGATCAACTTGTATCTTTGTGTATTCCTTGTCTCAATTTGCATTAAAGTCTCAGAAGAAATGTTTCATTTACGGAGCTCTTGTTGCAGTCAGAATTATGACCTCAGTGTCCCCATTTTATCCTTGAACTTGTGTGAAAATCCAATAAAACTTTCATTTTTGAAATGAGAATCTATCATCTTTGGAGAATGTAGATGTAAATATGCCAAACTCAACAAATACCAATGGGATAATAACGTTTGTTCTGATTTGACTTTTGAAACACATCACAAGGAGAATTTATCCTAGTTCTTTTCATGTGATTTTGCCCAGATTTTTTCAGTGAAGCTTTTTGTATAACATTCAGAGCTTTTGTAGGACATCACTTAAGAACAAAGCTCATTGGGACTACAAGTGGGATACCTTAACTTGTCAGCATCAATGTAGGTGAAATTATCAGTATAATACAACCGTATGATGAACAAAATGATCATATATGATCATCTCCATTATCACTGTTTCACCATTTTCATTCTTCATACCTTTCTGTATCATTGGAAATATTTGTTCAAATCAATGATCTTTCTGAAGGATGATATGAGCTTTTAGCATGCCTAGTGTTTGCTTCTTGTTGATATGAGCCTTCAAAAATGCCCCTCATGAATCATTTCTGATTGATTGGAATGGGCCTTCAAAATGTCCCAACATTCTATTTCTGGTTGAAATGGACTTTCAAAATATTTCAACCTTTTTATGCTGGTGTGAGCCTTTAAGATGCCTCACATGGATTACTTCTGTCTTTTTCATGCTGATGTGAGCCTTTAAGATGCCCACATGGATAACTTATGTCTTTTTTTATGCTGATGTGAGCCTTCAATATGCCCTAGATGGATAATATAGACCTTCAAAAATACATTCAACCTTCAAGTCAAAAGGTTCACTCTCAATGTCCATTGAATTTGAATCTCATGATTCCCACAAGCTACAACTTTGATAATGCCCCATTTGTGGATCATTGTGGCTCTCTTTGTGACCAAATCTCTTAATCTTGAATGCTCTCATCCCATTGTTACTAAACAATAATGTTTTTAAGTAACTTGAGGGATTCTCTTCATGTTGTCACAAACTTAAGAAGTGATCAATCCTTCTGACAGACATGTCTGAGATATATGCCTCTTTTGAATGAGGTGATCATCATCTTCTTGATGTGTCGCTTTCTTACCTTTTTTCTATGTTCTGATATATGTTCCCCTTTTAAATAGGGTAATCCTTCTTGATGAGCTGCTGATAATGTCACAAAAGAGCATTTACAAGTGCAATTCTCCAGACTTTCTGGCTTATTGAACCACTTGCTTCAAGAATGTGAAGTGCTTCATTATTCTGGCATTTCTTATTCTTTTTCTCTGATAGAGGTAGAATAAGCGTCAACTTGCTTCAAAGACCTTTCTCATTTGAGATTGTCCTGTTTGAAAATATTTTTCCTCATTTCTTTATCGAAGAATGGAAGAATTTTGTAAACTATTACTCCTTACAGGTTCACAATTGAATCAAATCATAAAACATGAGTTTAATGAATATCAAATAAATAAACTATACTTTTAAATCAAAAAATCATAGTCCTATAGCAAATGTCAAAATTATTGACTGATTTAGTGTAGGTTGGTTCTGGTAAAGTGAGGTTTCTCAGCTTGGTCTAGTATATATGTCTCTTTGAGCATCCACTAACTTGAAGAAATGGTTGTTATGATCGTCTCATAGAGATACTTCTTGATTCCAGAATTTCAGGAACATCTTTGGGATGTGTGGTGCTTCATCAAGAGCTTAAGATCATCTCTTATGTCATTGTTGCACCATTCAATATTCGAGCCACCTTTTCAGGTTTTCAACTAGAATCCTCCTTTGGTTTCAAGATGTTATTTAGAAATTTTACATCTTGAACCCCCCTTTTATCATTTTTCATATCATGCATTAAAGATTTTAAAAAACAATTTTTGTAAATAAAAATCAATCCTGAGAGGCGGAATAAAATCTGAAGATAGTCTCTTTTACTTAGAAATTCATGTATGATTAGAATGGACTTTTTAGGTACGTAACGTAGACCATGACTCATGGTTACGAAAGAAATGGATAAATAGGACGAACAAGTGTTTAAGGGTAATTGAACCAAGGATCAATTCATTCTGATGCCTTCAATCTTGCCTTGCTTGACTTGGATATGCTTTGTTACTTGTATTTCATCATTTCTTTTTCTGGATCCCTCTTATATCTCGAACATTTCTTGCGTTTATTGTTGAATATGAATCTTTGGACTAATTACACTTGATCAACCTTGTAGCTTGAGGCTCAATGAGTCACCCATCTTGTTTCATTTTCTTTTTTCTTTTTTTTTTCCTTTTTCTCTTTTCCTTCTTTTTCTTTTTCTTTTTTTCTTTTCTTTTTTTCTCTTTTTTTATGATGGATGAGTATAGGACTTCAATTGCTTTGAGTACCTCCTTTTCCTCTTGCATTTCAGAAATTCTTTCGTTATTCTTGAATGGATTGATCTTCAAGCACTTTGTATTTGATCTACCCTGTAACTTCTTGATATTTCTCACTTTATTTCACCATGATTTACTTTTGTAACGAAATCTGGATTGATGATCTTCCTCATGCGAACAAATGTCCTTCATCTTTGCCCCCAGTGTGGAGGGTGATCCTTGGTTAGGGTTGAATCAGAAGGAAAAATTATTTCATTCACAGAAGTCTTTGTAAAAAGAGGTATCCCCAGGGGGATGAATATTTAGGATTAACTTTATTTACATGAAAATAATGTAATTAATGCATGATATAATTATTTAAATTAATCCCCTTATTTTTTTTCTTCTTGCTTCGAGCATGCCCTAATTACTCGAAATTCTCTTCGACATTTTGATCCATGATGCCTCATCTTGTCTCTTCTTGCAGGAAGATTCATAGATAATTGAAAGTTTGGTTCTTTTGAGGTTTTGGTTTTACCAGTATGATGGTTTTGTATCTGGAAGGATAGATGTATGCCTTTTGAAGTCGTGTATATATGGAATGTTGTAAACTAATCAACTCTACCCAAAAAGGTAAACATATGGATTTGGTGTCTGAAAAATAGGTAGACACATTATTTCAGAGTCTCAGATAAATGTAGTGTCAGAATTTGGTTTTTGTAAGGATCAAGTAATTGGCGTTGGATGGGATATGGAAGGTATAATTTTACCACTTGCCAAAGATCTATGACTCTTAAAAATTAAAATAATATTTAATTTACTTGATACTTGTTCGTTATTTTTGAGTACTAAATACGAGTGTGAATATGTGTGCAAGTATACACAATCGAATAAGTAATAAAGTGATAAGTTGAGTATCGTCTCCACAGGGAATTGGGGAAGTCAAATAGGTTTGTCAAAGCACTTTACTTTGTCACCTAAGTAAAGTTAGTGATGGTATGTACAAATGATAATGTTGTGGCAAAATAGAATGACTGATGTGGAAGTGGAACGATGGTAATATGATAGCAAATGGATATGTCGTGGCAAAATAGATTGTGTTTAATGCAAACAAATAAAAATGTCAAGGCAAAATAAAATGTAAATATATGATTTAATTAATAGGACTTTGTCTTTCTCACACGA